AAAAAAAAAAAAAAAAAAAAAAAAAAAAAAAAAAAAAAAAAAAAAAAAAAAAAAAAAACGATTCGCCACTGCGCAAAAAAGCGATAAAATTGGCAAGACAATATTGTGCTTACGCTTGAGATGATAGCAATGAATGCCCTCATTGTTTGTATACGCCATCGTCGGACGAGCGAACGTATCGCGGTCATCTGACACTCGCTCGCGCTGCTCGACGTTACGTAAATACATAATGCACAAGACGTGAGAAGTTTATTGAAACAACGCCTGCCCCTCGGTACATCTATATTTACAGATATGAATGTTTACGTGGTGTAAGATTTAAGTAATCTTTTGAAAAATTACGAAAACAAAGTATAAATAATGAAGCATCGGGAGTAATTGTATAATCCTTCTCACGCGAAGCATGTACATGCACTTAATTACAATCGGACGATATTTCATTTATAAGTGATGGCGCGTTAATGTAGAACGAGTATACTTGACGATAAGTTCTAGCAAAAAGATTTACCCAAGTGTTCATCGTCAAACTTGGGCACGAGAGTTTTTATGGATATATTTCGGCACTTTACTTTCAGCAAGTAAACTTTTTTTTTGCTGAAAATTTTTTTACTCCTCACTAATTACAATACAGAGAATAATCTTTTTTTTTCCAGCTTATGCGTATCATTGTTTACGGCAAAGTATTTCAAATAAAACATTTAAATAGTTTTTTCTAATGCTACGACAAAATGGTATTTCCTTTTCGAATGGAAAAAAAGTACTGTACTATAAGTGGTGATGAAAAAAAAAAAAAAAATTTAATTGTGAATTCGCAAAGTTTCAGTCACAAGTCTACCAACAAATTTTGAGTTTTTTACTTTACTGAGCAAAAACTTAATTTCTGTATAAGCTCTGCGATTTTTAAATAGAATCAGTCATTAACAGGTAAGAGTTGAAAACCTTAAATGTCATTTTACCACTTTTAAAGAGTTTCGTAGTCATAATGCTTACAAAAATAGAACTATTTTATCTAAATTGGTAGATCGAAAGTACTAATTTTGAACCCAAGCAAGTATACAGTGACTAACATTCATTTAATGTAAAATGTCGAAGATATACTAAAAATTATTATTATTTCATATTTTGTTTATTCAAAAATTATGCATTTGCAGTCCATTATTCTTCTGAATGTTTTATGTATTATTTTTTATGAATAGGCTACTCAGTTTTGGACGAATGGGCTTGCTAGGTCTTGTTTGTCTCTTTCAGTAACTTATGCGAAAAAAGCTGATCTGAACTTAAATTAACTTCTAATTTGGAATTTTAATGAATTATAAGTGTAGACAGTTGCAACTTTATTGAAATAAAAGTATACACATAAGTATGATACATAATTTTTAACACAGTGTTGCAGTTGCATGTATTAAAAATATATTTGTAAATTGATGCATCTTTATATTAAGTATAAAAGTGGAAGCAACATTTGTGACTGATACAGTCTACGATGCTCATTCATGTGCGTTATAATAACTTTTTCTCAAGGCCACTAAACTATAATTAGAAAGTGCCCATTTTTTTTAAAAAATGTAAAAGTACGTAAGAAATGGTTTCTTATTACTAATGTCAGTAATTAAATATTATCATGTGTTGGTAAATAAAATAAGCTAGTGACAGGTCTAAATGAAAGGCGATGTTTTTTTCCTTGTAGTCGGAGCACATATAAAATAAAAATTTACCCCTTGCAACTCAAAATTAGTACGAGATCATTAATGCTCAGGAGCAGCAAGTGTAAAGTTCAAATAACAATTTTACCACTGCCTATAGACTACTTTTAGTTTTGATAATATTGAACTAAAAATACTCAAAACAAAACTGTATGATTAAACTGTAAAAAATAATTCACTCCCTGATATTTTATAAAAAACTTTTTTTTTAAACCATAGACTCTTCATCTCTTTACGTGTGTGCAACTAAAAAGAACACAAAATGCATTATATATGTTTCTATAGGTGCAGGCTTATTACACCCACCTCTTTTTCTGTTATAGAACAAAGCATGACCTCATCAGATTTCCAAATTTGCAAAGCTCAACAATCACTAAAAGTTCACCTGAAATGTAAAATAATTTTGTCTAATAAATACACTTTTTTCTATATGTAATTGATCGTAGTATTACGTGAATGATTACGTTTGGCTATATTTTTTGTACAAGCTCCCAAAAGACTTGTTATATTCAAATGTTGTCCTAAATAAATCATTATTTTAAGCTCCTTCGCCAATGCAGTAATATACATTGGATCTGCATTTTTGCGAATTGTTTTTACAGCTACTGTTGTCTTTGATTCTTTAGCAAATATTCCATAAGCTACGGCCTTATGCACGACTCCGAAAGCTCCACTTCCTAATCTTTTATCTTGATGTGATGAAAGAGAATCATATTCAACGTTAATATTAATCAAATTAATCTTATTCTTTTTTAAAATATATTTATAATCTCTTACCTAATTTTATTTTTTCTCTGGGAAACTCCCACCTTATATCGTACGGAAGGAGGTCTGCCTGCTCATCTACTGTAAGTTCTGGATTCATTAAATCAAGTTCCCCTTCCGTAAACTGGGTAAGACTAGATTCTAATAAGAGTTTTTCTCTAAACTGGAAAAGATTATTTACTTGAAATGTAATTTATTTATATTATAAAGTTTTTTGATTTGATATGTACGTGTGTTAATAATAATCATATTTTTTTATTTACCTTTCCATGCTGTACTTGTAAGTAAAAGTAAATTGATAAAAAAGTAAGGATAGCGATGAACCATACTACTAATCCAGTATAAAAATTAGTATTTGGATTTCCTAGAACGAAAATTGATTGCTTTTATCAAAGAACTTTTTCCTGCTTTTAACATGAAATTCGGTCCATGCAATCAAATCGTTTATACTCAAATTTTCGAAGATAAATCATCATAACACAATTAGAATCTAGCTTTAAACGTTAAAAAAATTTTTTGTAAAAAAATAGTCTGATCTAAAATCCTGATGTTATATAGTTTGAAAAATAAAGAATTAGATTTCAAATTTTTTACCACAATATTTTGAATAATAACTTGTATCTTCTAGAAAAAATTTATACATTAACAAGTAATACAAGTACTATTCTAAAATAGCCTTCAGCTACTAAAGAAAATAAACTGCCATGAAGCTATCCTGACATATCTCAAATAAAGTGCATCAAGCAGTTTTCGTTTGCATTAATTATTTAAGAAATTTCCTGTCCATGGCTTGACCTTTTTTACGATATTTTTTTTTTATATTACATCCTGCAATATACAAGACAATAAAATCGTCTTAAAGTCGTCTTTGAAAAAAAAAAATTCGTTTGTGTTAGCACGTCTTCGGCTCTTGCCAGACCAAAATCGCATATCTTAATAATGTTATTTTCTGCCAATAATATATTTCTCGCGGCTAAGTCACAATGTAACACCTAAAAATAAAACGAGTAGCAAACACCTAATGTTAGTTAATATATTAGAATCCAGTAACATAAAAAATTGTATACAGATAGGTGCTTGCCTTTCTTTGGGAAAGGTACTCCATACCATTTGCTACTTGATAAGCCCATAAAAAAAGATCCTCAGTGCAGAGAAACGCAACATCTTCATTCGCGTAGTCCCCTTTGTAATTAGAACGCCAACCTGGCTGGGAATCATCGTCGTCAAAATCATCACTAAATTCCATTGGGCCAACAAATGTC